ATTATATTATTCTATCTTCAAGCTGTAGATTACACTCATTCACCTCCTGCACTGTTTTTCATTACAAAAAGTGCACTGATTACAATTTGTGTTGTTGGTCACTGTTTTAACAGGTGTTTTATTACTTGCAGAACAGCTAGGTGGAGCTGTGGTGCCCACAGAGCAGGGTCCTTCTCCAGTTCCCCCAGCCTTATTCAGAGAAGTGGGGCCCTCAGTGGAGGACTGGGAGAAATACCTGAGAAACATGGCTGCGGACCTGGACAAACAGCACACTGACACATCCACAGACATCGCCTCCACACCAGCAAGACAAGAGGACAATCTTTTCTTACAGGTAGATTGTGGTATTTTTAAAATGTCCGAATGTTGGGTGAGATCATTTGGAAGTATTTCCAGCACAGTCTGATGTTTGAATATTCTGAAATCCTTTCAATATTAAACAACTGTGAAAGTCAGTAATGATTTAAAGCTGAGGTTTATTGATTCGATTTTCATCATTTTGTTCGATGTTATGTCCAGACAGAGGACTCCTCAGTGCATCAGCTGGAGGGAGAATTTCGATCTGTTATCTCAGCACTGCGTTCCAAATTAGACTCCAGAGCTGCTCCCCCCATCCTACAGTTGGACGCAGTCCAGGAGTCTCCCAGCAGTCCCCCTATTCCTACTTCTTCTAGTGGAGCAGCAGTCCACACCGGCCCCTCCTCCACCTCTTTCCAGGAATCCCAGCAGCCCTTTTCACTTCTAACAGCTCTGATGAAGGAAATTCAGAAATTAAGGAGCCAAGAGGATTCTGTGACAGAAGATGAAAGCTCGTCCAACAGAGACACTTCTCCTGATGCAGATTGGAGCATCATGTCGGAGGATTTCACTTTTTTTGAGAGTGGACACAGAACAGAATTAAAACCTTCAGCGTTACCACTCCCAGTGCAGTCAACAACTGACGGTCAGCTGGTCACTGAGGGTGCTCACACAGAGACGACTGCTGACCCCAGACAAACTGTACCTGCTGTAAAGAGTCTTCACAGAAAATACAGGAGCCTTCTCCGCAAGAGGCAGATACCTGGGGCTAATGGGAAAAGTATGTGCCACACCCATATCTCAAAAAACTTTTATTAAAAACATATATTTGATAATATATAATAATATTTGTTCATGGGTAGACATTATTTCTCAAATGAAATGTTTTTTGTTTGTTCCAGTTTGTCCTGGAGTGAGAGAGTCCTCACAGCAAGTCAGCCAGGTCAGAGACTCTTACAGATGGGTCTTAAGTATCCCAAGCAAGAACCTACGCATGAACTTCCAAGAGGTAAACTATCATTTGAGAAGGAAAAGTGCACTAGTAAAAAGAAACATTTTTAACTTGTGTTTTAATCATTTTTCTCACTCTCTCTCTCCTTGCTTGCCTCTCTTTTGTCCAGGTGTTAGTTGATTTGAGCTCCAAGAACGATCGAGGACTTTACCAGGCGCGGGTCAGAGCCGTAGTGGGAGGGCGACCTGTGACTTTCTACAGTCTCGTTGGCTTGGAGAATGAGTCATTCTACCGCAGTGTGCCAAGGATAATCGCTTTGGCACTGGAGGCACTCAAGACTTAACTTTATCATAACAGCAAGTGAGAAAAATAAAAGAAAGATTCAAATGAGAGCTGCACAAAGACTCTCAAAGAGACCTGTTTGAACCGCTCTTCATGGGACAGAGAGACGCACATAAAACGCACACAAACTTCTCACAAACTTAACTTCTTCTGCCGTCTCCTATGACAAGCATTATTTTGTTTTCTCCATCTGAGAGTCTGACTTTGGCTCTAAATGAAAACAGCCATGAATGTATCAATCCAACTATCGGCCACCCATCATGCCACAGGAATTTTTGTATGTGGTTTGAGATGCAGCCTTGTCTAACTTATGAATCTGTACAAAATGATAAGTTATTCATATTGTCTTTGCAAAGGTTGAGCCTCTTGTAAAGCACGCAGACTGTATATATTATTCATATTCTTACCTTATTCTTACCATATTTATTTGTATAGTGAAAAGCATTTGTATTTTTGTAAAAAAAATAAAATAAATCTATATATAAATAAAATTGTTATTAATGGTATGGCATGTTGTGTTAAATGTTGTTGTAATCTATAATTATCTAATGCCAACTTGAAGTTTAGATGTGAGATATTTAAATTAGCTGACAGTCATGCTGCTAATCCTGCAGTATTTTGCTTCTGGTGTACAGTAGTTCTGCCGAGAACCAAACGTACCCTCTCGAGACTGGTTGCCAATGCTGAGTGGTTCCTCTTGAGACCCCAGATTGACGTCAGTCTCCTGACCCTTTAAGGGTACACTTTCCCGTCAACACAGCAGCTGCTGTGCTGTGGTGACTTGTATTTCCCACCTCCTCCCGGTCTTTACTCCTTAGTTCCAGAACGGGGAATTGTAACTGGACACAGAACTAAGCTGACCTTTAGAGATTCTTATTGTCTGTAATGAGTCACAACATTGCAAGTGAAGACAACTGTTGCTTGAGGAAGTGACACCTTTGAGTCGTAGTGTAAGTGTGTTGACTTTTATGCACCTCGCTGTGGCTGCCATGTCTCAGCCACTGATGGGCTGAATGAGCCCAAATAAACCAAAGTAACTAAAATTTAGTCCAAGTGCTAAAAAAGGGACATGGAGTGTAACAGCTGAGTAAACACACAGACACACATACTTCTGTTGCAACACATCAACTCATGCCTATGGCTTTTGTGTTTATGTGTGTGTGGGAAGTGAGCCAAATCATGGCAGGAAGTATTTTTGTGACGCACACACACACACACACACACACACACACAGACACAGACACACAACTGTGTGTGTGTCTGAGTAATGACAAGCCACAAATGTGCCAGCAACCTCCACAGAGCCTGGTCAATCATCACAGAGGGTGTGCTTTAAATGGATGAGACTTATCACCTGTTCTCTTGTTCACTGTACGGCTCTTTTAACTTTTTGGCTCGCAGACACACACAGTGTTGCAGCTGTCTCTCTTTCTTCATCGCCTAATCTGTCTGTCTATAATCCTTTTATTGTAAAGAACACATTTAACCATGGCTTCTGATGGAAAAAAGCTGTTAACTAGCTTATTATAGATCACTGCATTGCTAAATTTGTCCTAAAAGAATCCATGAGTTATATTACTTTGTTCATTTGGATGTGAATGACAATAGCCAGGTGCAGTGAACATACTTACAATACAGTGAGTACCTCAACACTTGGGGGCAGCCATGTGCTGAATACAATGCCTAAACTATGTGCATGTCATGTTCCCTGTGTGTGTGTGTGTGTGTGTGCGCGCGTGTGTGTGTGTGCGTGTAGGTGTGCGTGTGTGTGTTTCTGTTCTCCTATGTTCAGTTTAAGTTGGTTGGTCCACCGCTGTGGTGAAGACTGAAGCATCCTGATGGATC